GTGCCCGCCGGCCAGCGCGTCCTCCGACTGGCTTGGCGCCTGCGGAGACGGCGGGAGGAGAAGGTGACGGTAACCCCCGCGGACGGGGGTTTTCTAGGCTCCGCCAGCACGGTTACAGGATGAGAAAGCCGAGGTACGGTTTTGTCCGGCCGCGGTCGGGACGCAGCGGTCTCGCTCCAACGATCCCCTCTCGTTTGAGGCAGGGGTTTGCACGGAGCGCTACGGGAATCGGGTGCTCAGTTTTCACTGAGGTCAGATAGGCAACTGGGCGCCTAACTCTCCTAAACTCCAAGCTGCTGGAGTTCATTTTAATTGTCCTGCCATCTTATTTAGGATGAACGGGATATAATACAAGCCCATTCCTGGTAGCCGGTTATTAGCCAAGGGATAATGATCACACTTGTCACAATGTAGTGGCAGGGAGGGGACAAATTGTGAATAGGATGGATTAGCCCTGACGCTCATTCTGCACCTCAGAGGACCCTGTACCTAGGCAGAGGGTGCTTCACCCCCAGGCCAGGCAGTGTGAGGAGCGATCTGGGAGAAGGAATCACAGTGCCTGTCTCCAATTATTTATTGACTGAACATGTCCAGTTCAGAGGTCTCTAGGCACATGTATATCTTTTAAGAGCACAGCACAAATCAGCTTTATCAGTTTCAGCCAAAAAAACTCTCCCATAAAGTCAAGATGGCACCAAGCCAAGCATTTGGGATCTCAAGCTGAACTTCTCCTCCATGCAAGCATGTTCGGATTGAGGGGCTTGGTGAGACACAACATAAAGATAATGCAGGGTCACAGAATTTTGATCAGTGGGTTGATTTAGAGTCATTTTTTCCACAAAGATAAAATAGCAATCCCACCAAACAAATCCATGAGGCAAAAGTACAGCCTCGTGATCAGTGGTCTCTAGACAGCGTTACTGCTCTGTGAGTGCTGAGCACCTCACGACTGTAAAGAGCAGATAACGTATACCCAACGAGCCTATTCTCGAGAATAAGGGAAGTTTCCAACTAGGGCTGGTCCCATTGGCTCGACAGGGTCATAACTGCAAGGAATTGCTTGCATGCATTGGCGTGTGGCGTCAGGAGATCAGAACCAAACTCAGCTCCATGCCCAAGCCGGTTCCCCAGCGGATCGGCCCTGCGGCAGCTTTGCTAAAGGCTGCGGCAGAGCTCAGCCTTTCCAGCTCCCCGGCTGCTCGATGAGGAAGGCAATGGGGAGCCGATAGCCTGGAGCCTTTCCAGGTTCACAACGTCTTGGCTCACACTCCCCGCTTTTCTAGCTTCGAGGCGGTCCCTCAGGCAGGCTGCCCTGGAGCTGGGGCTCCCTGGCTTTCCAGGACCTCCAGCTCCAGGGCTGAGCAGCTAATGAGCTACCCTGGTGAGCTCATCCCGGCAAGCCTTGCTCTGGGGCCTCCTTCCAAGGAACCGCCGGAGTGTCCGGCGGTCTCGTTCCCTTTTGGGGGGATTTGCAACGTTTGTGGACTTTGCTGTGAGCCCATACAAAACCAAAGCGGTCATGTTGCCTCACTGACTGCTCTCCAGTTGCACTTTGAGCCCAAGCTTTTAACTATTTGCAAATAAAAGGTGTTTTTTGGGGGGAGAGAAGACAAGCTAAGGAGGTGGATAGGAGGATCTAGCTATAAATCTGTGGTGTCAGTGGAACAAACAAATTGCTGAGCCTCATCAAGCCCATTCGGGTCAGCAGTAATGGGGGAGTGTGGGGCACCCTGGCCTGGCAAGCGACATTGCGGGCTCCTGGGCCTTACCTGGGAGACGGACACGAGGGATTGTCCAGGGTACTGCGAGGTCGCGCTGGGCTCTGACTTTAAAGTGACCGTGCTGTCTGAGTTGGTAATGGAAGAAGGGGAGTTAGTGGCCGAAGTCGTAGACCCTGGAAGATAGTTGTTGCAGGACAATGAAGCAACACAGGAAAAAAACGTGTTCTTGAGGAAATTTATGTTCTAACTCCTGCCATCACATCTCATGGTGCGACTAGACTGTTCTCTTTCTCTCCCACAACTCCCTAAGGGTGAGGGCCTGCATCTGGCTGCCAAGGTGTCACTGGAGGAGGAGGAGGAGAAGCCTTTCACAGCCTGGCAGTGGCGGTCTTTGCACCAGCTGGAGGAGCAAAGGCTGAGCGCATCACGCTAACTTCCCCTCGACCGTTAAACGCGCCATTCCCAGCCCCTGTCGTTTGCCTTCACTCCGTTCATCCCAGCCACGCAGACCTGCGCGAGCGGGAGCTCTGCTGGGCTGGCGCCGGGCGCCCACAGCACGGGGAAACGCAGCCGGACTGGGAACCGGGGAGCTTTCCCACCCTGCAGCCTCCCTCTGTGTGCGGGCTATGCATAAATAGAGGCCCCACATCTCACGCAACCAGCAGGGAAAAGATCCCCAATATTATTTTCTAATGATTTTTTCTAATGATTTTTTTTTTCCCCAGAAAGAACGCTCTATTGAAACAAACTGTGCTGCTGACCAGAGTGTAGGAACGTGATGCTGCATAGTTGGTATATGAATGGAAAGTAAAAGCCTTCATAAAGATGCTTTTTTTTTTGCTTAAAACATACGAAGCTCTATGTCCATGCTCGGTAGCAGGGGCCACAACCGTGGCATCACTGAAAATCCCGGCTTTACGTCTGCTCCAAGCCCCAGTGACTATAATAAAAGCACTTTACCTGTTGAGGTTTTGCCTTTAGTAATGTTTTTAGGCTTCCTTTTCCTTGTCTGGATGCTTTCCTTTTTCATGGCCAGAGGTCGCGGTACCTTGACATCCAAAAGTTTGGAATCATTAATATTGTATTTTACTCAGATCCTTCCCACACTTACTGCTTTCCTATTTACGCATTGTAGCTCACACAACGCACCTAAAGTCCTTGTCCTTCACTAAGTGCTATTTTTCTCTGCAACAGGCCTTGGCTGGAAGATGTATAAGGCTAACAGCTAAGGCTTTCCCACAAATTGTGTTTTTTCCTTTATTTCCTATTTTCCTTTTCCTGATTTATTAGTGACCTTTATGACAGGGCCCTATTAAATTACCCTAACAGCTGGGGCCTGCATGGCTTGGAGGGAATGGTCATGGGATAAAGATACTTTAACCTTTATGGCAGAAGTTTAAACAGGCCTATAGGGAAGGATGAAGTCTCCTCTTTGGCTCATGGGCATGTTACTGGTAGTTCCCATCCTTTATGGATAGATGTTACCAGCCAACCTCCGTGCAGGCTCCTTAGCATCCTTCACACAGGCTGAACTACCACATCTAGCAGACACATGCACCTTCTCTCCAGTCCAGGTTTGGGTAGCATCAGCCTCCAGCTCCTGGAGCCTGCTAAGCTTTTTTTATTGGAGCAACCTGGCAAACCACCAAAATAAGAGCCATCCAGAGCCAGAAATCTCTTCTCCATGCAGGTACCTCCTGCGAGTGTTCCAGCTCCCCCTGTAGCCTTTTTTTGGATAACCTAAGCGGAGTGATTTAACGGTTCCAGGAGATGCGACCGGATCTGGTTGCAGCTCTTCTGAGCCCAGTCTAGATATCCCAGACCCAGACACACTCAGGACGGGCCTGTCCTACCGCCAACACGCCCCTTACCCCGTGGAGCTTCATGTAGAGCCCGCAGGCGTTGCAGACGGGCTCCCCTTCGGCGTTCCTTCTCCAGAGGGTAGTGTTGGTCGTGTGGCAGTTAGTGCAACATAGGCCAGCACGTCTGGACGAGGACTGCAAAAACAAGCAAACAAACCAAACACGCATGAATGCACCCACAAAAATGACAAATTGGGAAGGTTCCTTTCAAACAGGAATAAAAATCTCCAATTACAACAATTTCCTGGAAAATGTGAAACACACAAGACAGCCAAATTCGGATCAAAGAAATAGCATTCAAGTGAGATCACTCCAATTTGCAACTGCTTTTTTATTGAGCTTGATAAACCTGGCAAATATCCTTCCAACCCATTTCACAAACTTTCAGCAAATCTGCTCCAAGTAATCACAACTCATAACACAGAACGCTTCCCTCCCAGAGATCAGTGAGATGGAGAAACAGTTTATGAAAATACCAGCCGGGCTTCAAGCACACAAACATTACGACTGCTGCAGAAAACTGCTGTTGCTTTAAGTGAACTGCTCTGCTTTTCTGCACTCAACATGGAAGTTAACAACATCCCAATGAATCTCTCTTTTAAGACAACTGGAATCAATTGGCTGAAGTGAGCAGAACCAAACTGAACTGAGCTGGCCCGGTCTGATGTGACAAGAAAGGTTAACTGCGCGTCTCACACATAATCTGCTCTCTTACAGGCTGCTGAAACACCTTGTAAACATTAATTAATTACATATTTTGTGGGTACACTGACTGCTGACTCTGCCATGTTCATGGACGTTTTAATGAAACATTAATATTTTCCTTCTCCGAAAGGAGAAGTCTCTATATACAGACTTGTCAATTTAACAGGCATTTCATTTTAATGTCTCTTAGCATTAGGCATTCAAACTATTTTAATAAGAGGCTTAAGTAGGTATGAAGCTACTGGTGACATAGGAAATCCCACAGAACCTCCACGTTCAGGTGTCTGAATACGTTCTTCAGCCTTGAGAAAAATCCTCCCAAAGACAGATAATAGGTGATGCAGGCAATGGAGAATTCCCTGTTTGTTTATTTTTCCATTATTGCTCGATATCACAATGAAGCAGCATGATGAATGAGGTGGGTTGAGTAGGAATAAAAATGAAATGTTTTTATAAGTTTAGCAGTCAAATAAGGATCAGCTTTGAGTTTCAAAAGACATAGATGACATGTCCAAGCTTTGAGTCACTCGTTGCTAAGCAAAGTGGCTTCAGCAACAATTTGCAAATAATTGCATCGCTTCAGAAATTATTTATCTTTCAAGAAATAATCAGACAAAAATAATACACTGAGGTGCAAGCTGACAAACCTGTACAGTGGAGTACACAGTCTCCTTAGCAATTCCTGTCCTTAATATGGGACGTGGTGTCACAGTGAGGTCCTGAATCAGCTACAGGGTCACCTCCAAGCATCTCCGCTGCGGAGGCCGCGTTGTTCACCCCTGCCCCAGCATGGCCCCAGCCCCACTGGGTGCTCAGCACCTTCCTCTGCTTCCTCGGGAAGGAGCTCTGTGGCCAGCAGCCCCCAAGCCCGGTCCCGGGGTGGCTCCTGCTGCAGCAGAGGGGGAATTCGGGAGCACTTAGCCCTGGGCTGGCTGTGCCCGATGAGTGCCCGGGGAGACCTGTCATTGCCTGGCGGTGGAAGCAGCCCAATGCAGAGCTCTTTGGAAAGCCCCAAGATTTCTGGTCACCCGCAGGCACTAGGGAGGGAGGGACGCCCTGTCCCTATTTCACGCCGTGGTGGGACTAGGACAGGCACCGCCGGCAGCCCAATGCCAGTGCCAGCCCTGCCCAAGCTTTTCCTGGCGCTGCCAGAGCCACGAACTGCACAGCACCACCTGCCCACACTTCGCCTCGTGTGCTCTTGCAAGGAGCCCAGGAGCCCAGAAACCCACCCGTGAGGACAAAACAGCTTAGCTTAAACCCCCAAACCCTCTGAGAACCAGCCAGTGCAGTGCAACTTGCCAATCGAGCAAGAAAGAGACAGTCAAGGCTACTCTTGCTCACTGAAGGACGAGGGTACAATATGTTATTGCTAGTTTCCCAGCAGATCCCCTAAAAGCAAGTGCATTTCTGCCAGCCTCCACCCGGCCTGCCTTTGTAGCGCTCTGACCTTGTCTAGGAAGTTGTTGACTTCAACATTGTGCTCCAGTGTTTATTTATACAAATGCAGTGTACACTCAAACAAAAACTCATCGCGGACCATGCTTGACAGCCAGCTGCTGCTGATAAGCTCGAGGAATCAGCAGTTGGTGCACATTGAACCAAATATGTGTCAGTGCTGCTTGGACAGCCCAAGAAATTCGGAGCTGGTGGGGCAGATCCTCCTGAGGGAGTCCAAAGCCAGCAGAGACTTTGCTTCACCACCTTCTCAAAAGTGGAAGTGAAACCTTGGAGGTTTCATGCGATAAATGAAGCCTCTGAACTCCAGGAAGATTTAATTGATGTTTCCTTGCCCCCCTTGCAAGGCAAGGAGCTGATTTGGATAGAAAAGAGGCTTCAGCAAAGCAAATTGAGATGCCTGAGTTCAGTGAGTCACTGTGGCAAGTTGCCTCACCTCCCAAAAGCAGGTAGGGGGGCCTCCCAAGGGGGAGGCTCAGAGCTCGGTACAATACACCTACATCGTCTGAGATTTGCCTTTGCTGGCCTGCCTCTGGGCAAAACCATATCTCAGAGGGCTAGGAAACTGCAGGAACCAACAGCAATGGGAAAATTAAGTAACACTCAGTAGGCACTGCACCGACCACTCCAGACTCCTACCAGTTTGCATCAGAGGATGATTGGTCTCATGCCCACTCCCTGCAAAAGTGGCACCAAAACCACTAAGTCTTGCAGACTGTAAAAAAAAGGCAGACTGAAAAAAATCACTGAGCCAAGATTGCAAAACTTGCCTCCAATTAGTACTTCTACCCAGCCCCGTGTGCAGGTTGGTGAACACATGATGACTGCTGCATCTGCCCCTCATATGCTGCACCACGAGATGCGGTTCTGGGCCTAAAACATTGCTGCATTCGTGGAGTTTCATGCTCGTGAGCGGAGCCATCCAGCTGCAGGGGCTGCTCTTGGATGGTGAAGGTGATTTGGCTTTTAGGACTGGGTCTAAGGTATCACCTGGTGAAACACACCAAGAAACTTTGGATAGAGAAGGTTTTGCCTAAAATAATGTGCTGCTCGCACCCTTCTCTAAGATAAATCCTTTCTGCTGAAAACCACAGGGCTTTGCATCCAGATTCGTTTGGCAGCAAAACTGCTGTCCCTGCTACATAGAGGATGTTGCCCTTATCACAGAAAAAGAAACACAGAATGAACTGGAAACTTTACTATTAGTGCCAGCCCCCTCGTCCCCCGCACAAGTGGGCTGATTGCTACCAGGCTGCAGCATGTCATTCCTGCAGCGTTATACGGGCCACTTGCATTCGCCAGTGCAAGATACACGGCACCTTTCTTTTCAGTGGGACTTTGCTTTGTAAAAACAGAAGTCAGAATAACTCGCAAAGCAGTATCCAGTTACAGAGCAAAGGTCATAATGTAAAGGACAAAAGCGACCATTTTTTCCTCTCTGTGTCTGTATTTCATGGCATTGTGAAATAGCCTATTTCAACGGCTGGTTGTGTTCCTCGAGCAGCAACGTCTCACGGCGTTCACCACCCTGCTCCCACCCAACTGGTGTGGGTGAGATTACGTGGCGATACTGCGTAGAAGACATCCCACGCAGTGGGAGTTGTTTGGGGAAAGAAACATCCAAAGCTGGAGGGATGCAGGTAGCTTCCCCCACGGGGCCAGCAGAGGAATTATGCCCCAAACTTATCAGTGCACAAGGAATGTTTTCTGCAAAAAGAAAATAGCAGATCTCAGCTAGCATGAGGAGAGGAGATCCCACAGTTATAAGCCAAGGACCCACCTATGGGAGAAGATGGACCTCCGAGCAGAGGTCCTGCCCCAGCCCCTGCAGCCGGGCCCTGGGGAGGGCAAGGAAACCCCGAGCTTTCTGCTGGGGATTACACCTTGCAGAAAACGTTCGACACCTTCCTGACCATCGTCAGCAGGTCCCCCTTCGTCTGACAGGGCAGCGCTTCTAGCAAAATGGGATTTCAAACCCCTTGGGAAAATCCAAGATTTTGAAATGTTTCATTCCAAAATCAGGATGGAAAGTAAAAATTGCAGTCCCTTTTCTTTTCTGTAAAACACATTCTCCTCAGGTATTTCCTCCCAAACTTATTGAAGCATTTCTCTTCGATAAGAACTGACTCTTTCATCTGGGCTTTATCATTATTGTATGTCATAATAGTCAAAACAACAAAAATGTTGAAAATATGTTGATAATTCCCAACCAGGTTTGCTCATCCCTGGGAAATATCTTAATCTTGTGCATGAGCATTATCCAGCAGAAAATGATTTACTGAAAAATGCCTAGCAGATGCCACCGCAGCAGTGATGGATGAGCAGGCCGGGGTTTACCGGCGACCCCCAATGACCTATCTGCCTTAATTCCTCTGTGGAAAAGCGATCGGAAAAGCCCTGAAAATGCACCTAGCGTCACATTTTGATGCCGGTCGTACACCAAAATGCAGGCTTGGATTTAAACTGTTTTGCATAGATCTTTCAATATACAGATTGTACTTGCTCCAAAGAAATCAGCAGCATATCTCTGAGATCTGCAGCTCAGCAGAGATCAGAATCTGATCTTGGGTGCAGTTTTAATTACATTAAAGGGGATCAGGAACGTTGCGATAGCATAGGTAAATCTTATCAGATAATACAAAATGTTTTGCAGAAATGCGTCCGTTTTGATGTCATTACAGAGCAGAACAAAACTTTGCTTTTCCACAGAGCCACTGCTCATTGCATTTTGTAAATACAGTGTTACATTTACGGTATCAGAAGCAGAATGAAACATTTTGCTCTATCCCAAATTATTTCTTACGGTTTTACTAACTAGAAATTTGCCACTCTTGGATTATTGCTAATAATTTGTTCTGCAGCAGAAAAATAACTGCCTGAATACACCCGGAGCGAAACCAAAGGCGCTCCCAGCTGTTCCCCGGCGCTAGCTCCGAGACAAACATCCTGTTTGCAATGACTGCTGCTGATGACAGGCTCTGAAAGCAAAACTGTTACCACCAAATTTAAACATCCCAAAGCGACTGTACAAATAAAGTATGTGCCTTTCCTCTCTCATGATGAGATCCCAATTGGAGGAAGCCCAGTGCCATGTTGCGGGAGAATTGATACATTAACCTGCAGAGAAACCGGGAGCTAACGAATCCCACCGCAAGAGTGCTGGCAGTTGCAGCAGGGGTTTCCAAGCATGGTCACTGGGCCCCATCCCACTCCCACAAACCCGCCTGTGCTGGCTCAGGGTCTGTTCCTGTTTCCTGTTCAGCTATTCTGCCTAGATC